GGTTCATGCCATCTGTCAGAAGTGGAGGCAACTGTAGCCTTGTTGGTTCCCAGCCACAAGCCCAGCCTACTCATGGGGTCACCGTGAGACCTCTTCCAACAGCCTTTAAAGTTACTAATCCACTCAATGTGCAGGGGCCACAAAGCTCCAGCAAACCCTTGCAAAAAGCTCAATACGTTGCTGATGTTTGTAAGAAAAACAAACCATACTATTGATGTATAAATCATTTGGAGGTTACACTCAGTTTTGACAACATTACCGACTCCCAGGGGAGTTGGAGGCATATATGAAACCACAGCGAGATGGATAGTGTATTCCTTTTGTAGGAACATCATGTTTCAGTGCAACATGAAAAGGCATCCCGAAGTGCAATAACTCATCTTTGCAGTCTCCCACATGGCCCTCATGTCTTTGACATATCTAGGGGAGAGTGGTGATGATTACTAAATGGCCCGGCTCCAAAGCCCAAGCACACACAAAACACCCTCATCTCACATGCTAAAACCTACATGCCTCTGTTGCTTTACAACAAAGGCTTCGAGTACAGAGGATTAACAATGACACCAGGACAACTCTTCACAGCACTCAGAGTGTGCATTACTCTGTACACTTTTTTTTATTTATTTCCCCGCTCAGACTATTTGTGGCTTTTTGTGAACAAAACTGTGGTGACATTATTTTAAGTTACTAATTTGACATTTGGGGCTTATTGTTATCTTGACGGCAGTTGGCAATATTGCTGCTGCCTCATGTTTGTACACTAAATACAAATCTACAATGTACACATATATCGTTGCTAACATAAACAATGAGAAATATTAAAACACAACACACACAAAAAACTGCCACAACCATTGTGAGTGCTGCCCAATGTCATCTTCAGAAGTAGCGTTATTCCCTTGGTTGCTGAGAGCTAATAGTTAATAGCAGCTAAATTTGGAGCTACAGCTAGCAATCATTTAGTTTAGCCTAAGGACTGTAAGAACAGCTAGCCTGCTAAGTAGTTAGCTAAAACATTACATATAAAATCTTTACACATTAAGTTATTGTTTAACATAAAAACAATAAGAACCTGAAAAGTAACTGCAGTCTAATGTATTGTGTGTGTGTCTACACACTGTATAAGTGTATTGTGTTGTTTCAGCTTCAAAGGTGAGTGAAAGCTTTCCTATTATGCTAGTTAATGTTCTTTTAACTCTAAGTATTCTGATTACTTATTGTTGTATTTTTGTCTTGTTTGCTGTATAAACCCTTATCTTATTTCTGCTGATGTACATTTATTGATTTCTATCTTTGTTTGAACTTCCATGCTTTTTTTGGTTGTTGTTGTTTGTTTTTTTGTTTGTTTTTTGTTTTGGCTAAATTAGAAAGGTTCCCTGCTTCCTGTCTTTTTGCTAAGCTAACCTGACTCTTAGCTGTAGCTTAGCCCAGAGTTGCATGAAAAAAGTTGCTGCCTGCTTATTTTCTTATTCTCATAGGAATGAGTATGTTTCAAAAACTATTTCTTTATATAGGAATTAGGGTCACAATAGAGGCAAGCAAGTGTAAGCTTGGGTTTTATCTCCCAGCACTATTTTAACCTGGAGGCCTGGTGGGAGCATTCAGGCCCAGTCTGTCCTGATGCTTCACTCACAGTTTAGCTTGGAGGAGTGGGATTAACTCTTATCTCCACAGGGATGAGGTCTGTCTTTTGGCGCAGCCTAACATGGACTCGTTTAAACCGCCCCTGTTGCCACTTCACATTCACAAGCATTCCTTAGCGGACAAGTCCCCTAGATAGCAGCTTCTTTAACATACTGTACCATGAAAATTCCAGAAGTTGAGCTTGCCCCAGCTCCGACAAAAGCCCATACAAACAACTGTTAATTTATTCTCACTCCATTTTGAGAGCAAACATTCCTGCCAGTGAGGCAGACCAAACAACCTCTCACAGTAAACATCCACGCACAGACGGGCAGGTTGTTTGTTCCCGGACTGAAATAATAAATCACTGCCTGTAGTTTGGTCCACAGGTTGAAAACCCCGAGCGTGGCCGGCAGGTTGCTGGTTAAATTCTGCAGAGTTCCGAGCACAAGATTTAATAGCAACCTCAAGCTCCGAACTGTGAAATAATATATGGCTTTATACAGCTGATGTGTAACAGCATGGGAAAAAAATCCAATTATTCTGTGAAAACTTGCTAAAGAAACAGGTGCTAAAGTAAAACCCCAGCCCTCTATTTTTCATTTCTCATCCATTCATTTTTCCACATCTGTCTAAACATTTCTTAACTCAAAACGCATTAAGTGTATTAAAGATGATCTTTTTTCTATGAATCTATGAAATACTCAAGAGCCAACCTGATTCCAGACATCTTATCACAAAAATTGTACAATTATTTGGCGACTCTATTGTAGTGCATACCGTTGAGATTAGGCAGGCTTGGGAGAAAGAATCGGGCATGAGGGTGCCCGAATCTATGTGGAGTAAGCGTCTGTCCAAAATTCATTCCTGCTCTATAAACAGTAGACATCAATTAATTCAATTTAAAATCCTCCACCGGTTACACTATTCTAAGATCAGACTGCACAAGTTTTATCCTTCTATTTCCCCAATGTGTGACAGGTGTAGACGAGCAGAAGGTACGTTGTTTCATGCCTTTTGGTCTTGTCCCTCATTAAGAGGCTTTTGGTTTAAAATATTTGACTGATACTCCAAGGCATATATGAAACCTTTACAGCCTGAACCTGAACTTGCAATTTTTGGATGTTCTCCGACGTCAGAGCTACTTCCGGTTAAATTGCAGGGGCCACTGGAACTAGGCCTGATTGTTGCCAAGAGAATAATACTGAGGGAATGGAAGTCCCCCACCCCTCCTTCCTTTCAGTTGTGGGTAACAGACATGATGTTCATAATACATATGGAAAGGTTCAGTAAATACTCAAAAGACTCTTTTCTGACTGTCCGGAACCCCTTTTTGGAACACTTTGCAAAAGCCAGACTGGGCTAAACTAGATTTGTAAACTTTCATTAATTTCAGGTTTTTGTGTATGTGTATGTATGTATATATGTATATATGTATATATATGTGTAGATGTGTGTGTGTATATATATTTTTTCTTTCTTTTTTGGGGGGGGGAGGTTGTTTTTGTTTTTGTTTCTGTGTTATATTTTGGAAATTTAAAATAAAATAATCAAAAAAAAAGATGATCTTTTTTTAAAAAATGAAGTCATGACCTGAAGAATACTGGCTAAGAAATATATAATATAATCACATGCTGTAATATATGCAGTACAAGAATCTTCGAGGTGTTCTGCACAGGGAGTTTTTATTCCACTCCATCTAAGCCATCCCATAACATCAGTGTAGGATTACCCACGAGCTCAGACTCTCTCTATCACGCGTTGTCCATGAAGTCTTTGATAAGCCCGTGTTTTTAGTTCTGGATAACGCACATATGGAAAGGTTTTATTGAGCATGGCATTGCATAAAACTGGATTTCCGAAAGAGGAGGCAACCAGTAGGAATGGGTATCTAATCACGGCAGGGTCAGGTCCGACACAGACTGTCTGCTTTAGCAACAGAGGCTATTATTTTCCTTCTCTAGGGCGAAACCAGTGTGTCCACTGGAGTTTACGTTAAAATTCAAACGCATTCAGAGCTACATGCCCTCCTGCTGGTATTGGAAGTGGACTCAGATCAGAGTGTCAAAGTGGTAAAACAATATCGCGCTTTCTTTAGGTAAGGCCTCTGGTGAGGGGTGTGTTCAAACACGAATCCCTCGGCGGCGCCTCAGATATTCATTGTCATACCTCGCATTGTGATCTGTGTTGATTTCCCCAACTTTTACCTGATCTCACCCCCTCTTAAAGTGTGTTGTAACTTGAAGTCTCTCTTGTGGTTGTACTGGGTAATGTCCTTCCAAAGATGCTTGTTTTCACAAGTGTTGTGCATGCCTGAACGCTCACCTTCTGTGTGGTGAGTAACATTCATAAACTAAAATTTATGAAATGAAATGGCTGTTTATCCTCTAAATATACAGCCGTAGACTTTATAGGTTTATGGGATTTTATAAAGCATTGTATCATTGTTTTTATATAACATTTGAATGATATATTCTGTTTGTTTTTTCTTTTTTAAACAATTCAGACGTTGTATATAAGTAAAAAAAAAACAAAAAAAAACCCTAAAGGCATTGGTAGGTGAACTCATAACCGCACAGTTACTCATTATAGTTCTTTATAATTCTTTGTATTGTTTTAAATGATCATTTATTCTATTTACCTATTTTATATGGGATTTATTTTGCTGTTTAGCGTCACGGATATCAAAGGAAGAATGTAATCGTATAGGAAAACATGTTTCTTTACTGTGCATATGACAATAAAACTTTGAAAACTTTAGTTTTAGACTAATAGTTTTAGTTCCCAAAACTATTAGTCAGACTCTATTTTTTGCAGAAATAAATAGAAATAAATAAGAAAAAATATATATTTTCACTGGTTACATGGATAAACAAATGACATCTCATCTTTATTTCATTCTTCTATTTCAAAAGAAATGCGCAAGCTACTTTTTATCCCAGTGGCTGAGTACTCTGTGCGCCGTTAGTAGAGTAGTTACGGCAGAAAACTTTCGGAATGTCGCCTTCACTGACTATCAGAAGTGTAGATTTTAAAAGCTGAAGTCACGCAAACGAAGTGAAGATGCGTTCGAATTTGATGTTTTTCATGCACTGATCACCTGTAACTTGCTCCAAATGTAGAAATAAAGGCTGAATTGTGACGGAATAAAAGAAGTTTGCCGTTTCTCACACTTTGGTTCAGAAATTGTTGCTTTTACGTGTCATAAACGGCCCTAAAAATTGTCACCTTTTCCTGATTTCACCTTTTCCTTTGCAGTTACAAAAAAACTTTTTTTTTGCGTGCAAAGGAAACGAAATATATCTATTTTTCAGGGTGAAAAACTTCTGACTTCTAACTTTAGAGGGTTCGCGTACGAGGCGCTCCTGAAGGCACCAAAAAGTCTCGGTCAATTAGTAGAGTTTAGACAGTGAGGAGAGCTCGGAGCAAGTAGGTCTCGGCGAACGCTCCACCAATGACCAGCTAAGAGAAAAACGCCCCACTGCTCCTCCGACTTAGATCTGCGGGGGTGGGGAGTCCACAAGTTTGTCTCTGGATTTAGGGAAACCATGGGATTCGAGTTGGACCGCTTCAAGGGGACTGTGGACCCGGATTTCAAATGCAACTTGTGCAATAAAGTCCTGGAGGACCCGCTGACGACTCCGTGCGGTCACGTCTTTTGCTCTGGCTGCGTGCTGCCCTGGGTCGTCCAGCAGAGCAGCTGCCCGGTCAAATGTCAGCGGATCTCCACCAAAGAGCTGAACCACGTCCTGCCTCTAAAGAACCTCATCCTGAAGCTGGAGATTAAATGTGATAACCATACGAGGGGCTGCGATGCCGTGGTGAAGCTGCAGCATCTGGCCGAGCACGCCGAGATGTGCGACTACTCCCCGGCGAAGTGCAGGAACAGAGGATGCAGCGAGGTGCTCAACCTGCGGGACGTGGATGCTCATATGCGGGAGACGTGCGACTACAGACCGGTGGAGGTTTGCGAGAGCGGCTGTGGGCTGATGCTCACCCAAAAGGAGCAGAAATCAAATGGCCACTGCTGCCTGAGAGCCCTGAAGGCGCACAACAGCGCGCTGCAGTGCAGAATGATCATCCTGGATAGGGAGTTCAAGAAGCAGACCATAGAAGCCAACAAGAGGGAGAAGGCTCTCCTGGCACAACTTTCCGCCGTGCACAGCGAGCTGCAGATGACAGCGCTCAAGTATCAGAAGAAATTCACAGAATACAGCGAGAGGATCGACTCCCTCACCAAGACCGTGGCTTTCTCCTGCAAGGTAAGCAGGAAAAGTTTTTGCTCTGAGTGATTCCCAGTAGCTTCTCCCTGCTGTCATCCACAGTGTGACGCCTGGAAAATCTGTGTTCTGTGAGAATAAAATAATTCCACTGCAACTTAAAGTTGATCCTGACATGCACTGCGCATAAGGCAATTGCCTTAAGGCCAACTTTTATAGGCTGTAAAATATCTTCCTCAGCATGTTTTTGTCGGCACTATGGGAGTTCTTAAAATGTCACTTTAACTGGGCCTCCTTGTTGTTTGGGTGGCTGCCTTTTTGTTTAACTTCAACCCAACTGGAAAAGGAAGTCAATGTTGTTGGCGATTCTGCTTTTTTCTTTTTTTGTCCTGGTGTTTCCAGGAGAACTTCGTGCCTTGGCTGCCTGCTTTGAGACATGGATGTCAGCTGTGCCTCTTCGCCAGCTGGCAGTAAATGTGGGGTGGGGGGAGGGCTAAATATTTACTGCAGTTCTGTACACAACAAGAACCAGGTTCCAGTTATAATGCCTCACCCCCTCACAGCATGCTTGTTTGAGGCTTTTTGTCATCGGATGTTCGCCCTTTCCCCCGAGACCATCATAACAAATTAGAATCAGGGCTGCTGCAGAGTTGCTGGCACCAAAGTTGAATGAGCTAGTAAGGGCTTATGAGGTCCCGAAAGGCCTTAAAAACAGTAAAGCTTGATCTGTGCAAGGCCCCTGCGAGGGGGGCTGAGGAAGAGCTGATGTAAGGATGTTTTATGGTTCAAATTTATAAACCCAGTGGCCCATTATCAACATCATAAAGGATGCAGGAGTTCATAAATCTGGTAATGAATTGAATTAGTGTATGGTGCTTGCACTGCTGCTGGGATTAGCAAATGGGAGTGGTCAGGGTTTTGTTTTAGAGGAGAAATAATTATTAGTAGAAATATGGATGAATGGGATGTGCCTTTTTAAAAAAAAAAAAAAAAAAAAATTACACCCTTTTTATGTCCCAGAAGTTCTTTAATAAATCACCTATCAACAATTTCACTCTCTTTTCCTCCCCCTGCTTTTGCTGGGTGCTTTCATTTGTTCATTACGGGCTCAGCTCCCAGTAAAATGTGTTCTAGTAGACTGGTAAATTGCGCATCAAAAGCACCGATGCAGGCAAATCGGGAAATCGCTCATGCTGGTATAAAGAAGCTTCCTGGGCCTGTAGCGCAGCAAGTTATCATAGCTCATTTGACAGCGGCATCTCAATCCTGCCATTGAGCTCTACATTAAGTGTGTTATTGCCATTGTGGCTGTTCTAACGTAAAAACAGAAGGAATAATGTCTGCACTTGAGGCATGCTTTGAACATATGTATGAGATACAGGAATGGTTGAGAACTTTTCTGAGGATGAGATTTAATATCTGTGGGTGATATTGCAACTCGTTAGAAAGAAATAAAGAAACCTCTTCTATCTCGAAAGGCCTTTCATTGGATCCAGTCAAGCAGTGAACAGGAATGAGGTTCTCTCACAAATGTGAATATGAACTGGGATTAGCTGTTAGAGGCAGTCTGTCCAAAATCTTTGCTCCCTTTTTTTTTTTTTCTCATGATTTCAGTAATCAAGAGCCTAATTACATCAGTGTGTTATTGGTAATTTCCGAAAAGGGATATTTTGACATGCCAAAGCAGCAAAAGCCCAGGTAATGACTTGTCTGATGGGCCTACTCCTTTGAAGCCATGCTAGTGAGCCAGCATTCACAATACCACGGACCTGGAACGCGCTAAATGGAGTGCATCCAATGGGAGGTGCATTTCACGATTCAAAAGATCATTGGGGAAAAAAGGTTTTAATGCAGTTTTATGACATGCAGTACTATGCAGAAGTCTCAGGCTACCTGATATTTCTTTATATTTTAGGTTATATTAAAGAAGCCAGACTTTCTTGCAACCTTTGTGGCATTCTTCTTTTTTTAAAGCAGTTTTTGGCACTGTCCAGGCTTTGTAAAGTTTTCTTTGGATATTTGCGGTATTTTCACTCGTTTTCAACTCTGCACTTGACCATTTTCAGAGATTTTGAAAGTAGACAAAGGGAGAAGTGGGAAGCCTGTTAAACTAACCAAACAGCAGCTGAAAATCATGTCCTTAAAAAAATATTAAAAATATAACAAGTCCTGACACGGGACCTGAGAGATGCATCTGGCCCTGCAGTTAACCCATCTGCTGTTCATTGAACCCTCATCAGAAATGGTCTCAGTGGAGGGTGGCATTCTTAAGGAAGGGAAACGGGGACGAAAGACTGAAGTATGCTAAATTACACAACTGAAAAGCTGAAAACCATCTTCTGGGCTGTGGAATTCAGATTTGAAAATTTTGTTTCAAATTACTGAACCAAAAATAAAAGGTCAGGAAAGAGGTATAACAGTGAGTGCCGGTAGTTACCTGTAAAACACGCTGGGGGCTCCGTCATGGTTTGGGCTGCATCTCAGCTGGTGGTGTTGGAGATCTTGTCAAAATTGATGGAATTATGAACTCCAAAAAGTACAGTCAGATTTTGATCTACCATGCAGTACCACCTGGAAAACATCTGATTGGCAACAACTTAATTTTTCAGTATGACAGTGTTCCCAAACACATACCTGGATAGAAAAACATACTGTGGAACACTGTCAGTCATGGATTGGCTACCCCAAAGCCCAGACATCAACATTACTGAAGCATCTTGACAGAGAACAGGACAAAAGGCAGCCAACATCCAAAGAAGAGCTCTGAATGTTGTTCAGGGAGCCTGGAGAACTAGTTCAGGGTGTGCTGAAGAATAAAGGTGGTCTTAGCAAATTCTAGTTTTCAAGCTCGTTAGAATTGCGCAAACTCTATGCTTGCCTTATAAACTGTGTTTTCCTGTATGTTTGCACATGTTTCAATAAATCGTTGCCTCCTATTTCCCAATGTCCTAGCAAACAGAGTGTTGGCTCAAAACCTTTGCTCAGTACTGATCATCAGATCACTACCAAAGGATGCATGCAAGTCCATTGTTACAGCTGACTGGCAACTTACTTTAGTTTAGAGATTCCACCACTCCTCAACTTCAATGTCTTTTAATGCCAAAAACTGGGAGATGAGGAGTAACTGACTGGTATTTAAAAGAAAGATTATTTAATACTAAATGCAAGAAAGACAAATAAAACTGATGGAAAATCAGTGAACAAAAAGCTCAGATCTTTACTGTGGTTCATTGCAGGGCTGTTAGAAGTGTTGTCACACTCTCCATAAAAGATTGGATCTGTGTTTTTGAACCAAGATCCCCTTTGGCTGCAGATGACAGCATTAAAGGTTCTTGATCTAATAACAAGTGTCTTTTAAAATCACAAGACATCAAACTGATCGATCCTGCATTGAATTTGATCGGAGTAATTGTGACCTCAAACTGATTAGGCTAATTGTGGACTTTTTTTTTAAAGCAGGGCTCTGTGAGATAGCTTAACAGAACAATGGAAGCTATTAGTTATTTCACAAGCGTGGCTATCAATTGAACATGACAGATCACATTAATAAAAGCCATCATGTATTCATTGAAGATGCCCATTTCGTCTAATAAAAATGCATTAGGCTGCTGGTTCCTTTGTGTATATACATTAGCATTGAGTGATAATCCTTGTCATTGATTTGAAATAGACTTCACTACCTCATTAATGGGGTAAACTGCCCTACATTTACAAGGTCACTGAGTTTCTGTCTCTTGACCACATGCCAGTAGTTTATAAATCAATATGTTCCCTTTTTGTTCTGTATTATAGTACCTACACTATAATTAGGTGAACTATATTAAGAGTTAGACAGGGGGAAGGCAGCTTGATGGAGGACAGACTCGGAAAGTGTGACGATTGCTGAGGTGAAGGCTCACCGTGAGTGTGCCAAGTCACAAGTGAGCAGCAGACTAAAGTTTCACTGCCAGCGTGCCATTTCTTACCTCACCAATAAAGTTTTGTTGTTGGTTTTTTTTCTCCCCACGGAGCTTTTGTTTACTTGCTGTAGCGCCCATGTCATTGTGTCTCCACGGTTTTGTTTTGAATTGGTGGTGTTTAGCACATCAGTTTTTCTTTTTAGTCTTTAATATAACTCAAGCACACCTGATGTTTTAGTAAATTTGCAACCTCATCCTGAAGACGTTTACTTCATTTTTGGGGGGTTGGATCATTGTTAGAGTGTTTGCAGATGTGGTGAGAAGGGAAGAGAGGGGAAGGGGGGGAAAAAAAGAAAAGCTTCATAATTGTTCATTTTAATGGTTCTTGTGGATGAAATGTGAAGACTAGTTTGTTTTGAGGCCTGTGACACATTCAGCATAAGTGAAGAGGATGGAAAAGCCAATTGCTTTGTACCTTTTTTCATTTGTCATATTAATTCCACTTTGTCTCAACAAGCATAATGCCCAACTGTCTTCTTGTTGACAGCGACGGCTGTAGTTCACTATAATTCGGAAGCATGTGCCACTAATGCTGTCGTGACAGAAGCGCACATTCCTGCAGGGCCAGACTTGCACATGCTGGTGTTTTTAGGCTATATGGCAGTCAGGATGCTGTACATGCCAGTAATATCTGCTTTATATTTAGTCTCAGTGTTTCGCAGAATACTGGAGCGGCAGCTGAAATTATGTTACCTCATAGCTCCCCTCTAAGTCCTCCTTAAAAAAACAGATTAAGGGCTGACTCTGCGAGTTTCCCAGAGGTTTTCATGTCATGTAGCTTCTGAGTCAAGAGGCCCGCTGGTGTATTCATTTACATAGGACAACGGTTCGTGAGAGAGCGGTTCTCTTCTTTGACCTGGTCATCATTTCAGGCTGGGTGTGCTGGCTAAGCCCTGGAGAATGGTGAAATTTGAAGAAGCTAAAGTAACTTGTTACATTACAAGATTCCGGCCATTAGAAACTACATACCAGCTGTTATGTTGTAGCAAAAAATTTGTACCATCCTGTGCTCATTTATATTGTCCAGAAGGTGTGTAACCCACTGTAAATTTACCCGAGTTTGTCCACTTTAGCTCACTGCATAACAGGTTGATATAGGCAGCAGTTTGTCTACCACCTAACTAGAAAGAAACTCGCTTTTGCTAGTTTTGCAGTTCTGAACCATAGCACCAGCACCAGCATCTTAGTCTTCCTCAGCAGCGATGTTGTGGAGCTGTGCTTAGCTTGCAGGTACTTCTTCAACACGAGGAATTGAGCTTTGTAGCAGCTGACAGACTCTTATTATCACCCTGGGTCAGGACAATGCGAATGCTCCAACTGTGTAACTGTAAATCTCTTTGTCATCTCACTAAATGACCTTCATATGCTGACCGGCTCAATGGCCAGATTCCACTCTGCACAACAAAAGGAGCAGGGAAATGTTGGAACACTTCAATAGCAACCAGTTCCTTCATTGGAATAAAATAACAGTATTTGAATTACAAAGCTGACCTTTTGACTTTAAAGTTACAACGAACAAGTAATCTGTATACTTGGATGCTGTAGTTCATATATTACACCAACACTGGCTAGCACTGGATTGGCTTTTTTTTTTTTTTTTTTTTTTTCTTTGGTTTTTTTTTTTTTTTTTTTTTTTTTAATGGTTGTGGGCCTGAGACTGAAGTTGTCTGTTTTTAGTTATGCACAACTGTTACTTGTAATCACATCATTTATGATAAGTAATTCAGAGTTAACTTGAATAATGACTAGCTTAATTTGTAAACAGACTGGTACTTGTGAAGTGCTTCTACTCTAGCTGAGCACTCAAAGCATTTTCTAGTCTAAGTCTTTATTCACTCATTCACACATATACATACACATAAGTGATTTGCCTAAAGCCATGTCCACACTAATACGTTTTCATTTGAAAACGCACCTTTTTCCCTAATTTCCTTCGGGATTAATAAAGTATTCTGATTCTGATTTTTCTCTCCGGTTTGGCCTTCCGTCCACACTGAGACAGCGTTTTCGGTCAAGGAAAACGCAGCGTTTTCAAACGCTCTCCAAAGCAGATACATTTGAAAACGCCGTTTTCGCGTTGCAGTGACAGTGAAATTTTTGAAAACGATGACACGTTTTAGTCATGTGATGCAGTCATGTGACCAATTAAACAAAGATACCGGAGGGCTAGTGTGGATGTAGCCTAAGATTCATGCAGACACTCACACTTTGATGGCACATTGGGGGCAGCTTGAGGTTCAGGGTACTTTGACATGCAGATTGATGGACATGCATATTCCAGCAGCTGTGGCAGATTATGTAAAATTACAGAGCGAGGTTGGTGAGTTCTAAACGTCCTCTGGCATTAACACCAGCACAAAAATGGTGCGCTGGGAGCTTCATGGTGTAATGTGTTGACAGCCCGGTTCTTTTGGTCATGTGCTGAACTTTTTACACGTAAGATTTCCTTTAATAGTTAAACAGCAGAAGCAGTACCATAATATACAAAGATGTCTAACCAAAAGATTCAAGGAACTGCTGAAAAGATCTGGCTACTAAGCTAACAGTGTTTGTTTGCTTTCTGCTATGTAGTGAGTATTTGGCCATTTTGAGCAGCAAGTGATATTTTCTTTTGAAGAAACCATGTTTGGCTGGATGTTAATGACAAACACGGTATGAAGAGAGTTTATTGACAATAGAGCAGTCAATAGTTTCTTATTTTGTTGTTGGGCTACCACAGAGAATTAGGAACATCTGTTTGCTTGCAGCAGTTGTAGCTGGTGAATACAACCTGAAAGTTAGACAGATGCTATCAAAATATGAGTACAATATAGCCCCTGTGTTTTGAAAGTTTCACTCTTTGAATTTAAAAGAATAAAAAGATTAATTAAGATTAATATTGAGTTGTTGTATATGTTGAATAACTTCCTGCCATCTCTTTGCTCACGTGTGTCTCTCCTGTCTGTTTGTAGGAAGGCGAGACTAAAAGCGTGACCGTTGTCCTTCTTCGTGAGGGCGGCTCTCTGGGTTTTAACATCATAGGAGGAAGGCCATGCGTGGTAGGTTGAAAGCTGAGCAACTTGGAGGTTCCGTCTCCCCCACCCCCTCCCCGGTGATCAGCCAAGTGTCAAATGGCAAATAGTGGAAGTACCACAAGCCTCCTCTGTGCTGACTGCCGCAACTTAGACAGTCGTGCATGGTTTTTTTTTTTTGGTTTGTTTTTTTTTGACTGTGGATAGATGGACTGCATCTATCAAGTTTTATTGTGTTTATATATTGGTCTGGTTTAGCGGATTTGGCATTACAGATTAAAAAAAACTATAATTACTTTTATGGGAGTTAAATCTGGGATTATGGCTTCCACCACAGTTGTTTTGTCTCTAATTGAGGGGATTTTGGTGGTGAGGTAAACACAGAGGAGAGGAAAGGGTCTTTTAAACCCAGACTGAACTTTTCTCAGCCGCTTTCTGCCTCGAGGCCCCTGAAGTTAAAGTCATTAATGATGCCACGCGCTCTGCCGAGTGAAGGGTTGGAAAATATCTCAACGCTGGCATCTCCCATACACGGAGCTTCTTTCTGCAGCCGAGGTCTTATTGAAACGCCGTATCTGTTTCACTTCCACTGTTGCAGACTTGGTTTTCCACAGCCACAGTGACGCACTTTTCAGCAGTGACATAGATTATCGCAGTAAAACTTTTTATAGCAGGAAGCTATAAAAAGATCGACATTTAAGCGTAGATTTGCTCGTGGAGTTGCTGTGACAGAGCCATGCATCAAACTTGTACGACAGCGGAGATAATACTTGGCTTTTGCTTTCCTAGTGAGCCTCAAATCATCAGGTGGTGTAAGAAGCTACTCATTAGAATTGGAAGTGGCTAATATCCTAGCAGCCTTTGACATGTGTGTTTCATGTGGCTGTTATACTGGTATGGCATGGTGAGCGCAATCAACTGCCAGGTTTTGTGGTCTCCTAGATGAGCTTGTTTGTCTGCAGCTCATGTGATAGCGGTGAGGCAAAGTAGTAGTAGGCATGTTGTGGAACTTGCAGCAAAAGCACTGCAGTGTTAACACTGTACACGATGTCCCTGAAAGAGGAAGCAGACCAGAAATTATTAATTAGCATCTGTTCTGTAACTTCTGGGGTTTCTTTAAGTACCTAGTAAAATGTAGTTGTGTCACAGAGCCCAGCAGGAGTGCGGTACACATTTACATGTGGTTTTAAAGAGAGTGCTAACATAGCTGTTAACCCAGACTTAGTTCTGACTCTGGGGTCACGGCCACAGAGTCGGATGTAGGCTACTTCATGCCCCTACAGCATGTCCGCGTGTCAACATTTAGGCCCTTCTGTAGGCCAGGGTCAACCCTTTAAGGCCTGGGAAGCATGTGAAGTTAAAGCTTATCCCTAAGTCCACACTCAAGGGTAGGGTTAAAAGGGCATTTCAGAGAAATTGCAAAAAGCCATATTTTTTCACTTAGTCTTGTTGCTGTTGAGCCTTCCAGATATTTTTGTTTTCTGTGTGCCCTGATTTTGAGATATCTGCCTGGAAATTACTGCTGCCAGTAAAAGAAACTGCTGGCAGTAAAATTTTGTGGATTCACTGGAAATCTCCCATAAATCTTAAGGCCAAACTAAATGTTGTTTGTGTCATTTATAGGGGTGGCAGCAACAGTTTGCTTGGGATTTTTTTTTTCTTTGTTATTTGGGTGAACTAAACCTTCAGCTTTGTAGGCTTGCAAAGCGTTGTACAGACGCTCATGTGGTTTTGCCCACAACAACCAAACCCAGTGTTTTTTAAAAGTACTTTTATTGCCCGATTTATTGAGACTTCTATAGGCTTTCCTTTCCTTAACGAGCCCTGTGAGCGCTGTGCTTCCATTAATCCGCTGAACATGCCTGCAATTTATTCCCACAGGACGACAACGACAGCACTTCGAATGAAGGAATCTTTGTGTCCAAGATCGTGGAGAAAGGTCCAGCAGACAAAGAGGGAGGCCTTCAGATCCACGACAGAATAATAGAGGTATGTGTGTCCTCCTCTGTAATGCTTCATGTAAATGGGAGGGGGGTAGAAACTACTGATGTAATGACTGTCTGCACCATAAAGAGGGAGAAACACCAAAGAATCACTCCATCTTTGTGTATTTTTGAGCTCTGAGCTCAAGCTGAACGCAATGCGTGACGTATGGAACCTGAATTAGCATTTTGGCCTTTTATTGGTGCTCCCGAAAGTCAATCCTGCAGACGGTGAACGTCTCTGATACGATTCTACCAGTCGACATAGACGATGTCAAGTAGGGCATCATTGCAGATAGGCCGAGATAAACCTGAGGCGAGGCTGTCTGTCTTTACTGTTGCTGGCTGATAGTGAGGGAGAGGAAAAGATGTCTTTTACTTCTCTCGTCCCAGCAAATAAAGCCCTTTCGACAGAGCAGCCATGAAGCGTCCCCCTTTCGCCTCTAAACAGAACTTGATGTGGAAAGGCCAGCTCACCCTGAGGTCAACTTGAGGGATCCATCGAAAAACTCAGCATCACAAAGGTTGCTTTTATAGAATGGTTGTCAACCAGAATCGCTCACAACGGCTGCTTTGAAATGAGTCGTTTATGTCAATTGCAAGTGTGTATTACCGCCGGCCGCAAGATGACAAATATGGCTTGTCGCTGGCTTTATTGTTAAACCTCAGTGAAATTGCCCCCGGAGCATTTTTGACCAGCTCATTGCTCACAGAGACGCCTGTGGAAAGTGTTTACACACACGAAAAAAAGAAGACTCCCAACATCTGGACTCCGCTGATCGCTCTATCCTGTCATTTATGCAGTCGAATGCTAACTACTTGCAAAAAAAAATGCCACAAGTCCTCTGGAGAAAGCCTCACGCTGTTGTTCCAAATAATATGGTTGTAAATCTGGCGACGTCGTGACTGAGAGGTTATGATGTGCTTCTCTTTGGTTTAAACCTCCTGAGCTCACACAGTCAAGTGTCTTGGTGCTCTCTGCAACTTAAGACCTCGTAACGAGGGCCGGTTGAACCAAAAAAGCCACTCAGAGATCAGCGACTCGAGACCTAAAGGGACTTGGCGTGGGCTGCTAGCTGATGTGTGGGGAGATTAGCTCATATGTCACACGAACGTGTAAAAGTGTGTGTCTTTGCGAGCATCTGCCCTGCTTGGCTTTATGAGTTTGCGTGCACATGTTTGCCTGGGCGCGTGTAAGCACAGGATGCATGCGTTAATGGGCCAGATGTCGCTGTATTTGGTTACTTGAGAAGGTGTATCTATGGGGTTTAATGCTGTGATAGCCAATCCGGAGCGGAGAGGACTGAATTTGCTATAGGATAATGCTTCCCTCGTGTTTTTTCCATATTGTTTTCGTGCTATTGTAGGTGAAGCCACAGAATCTCTCCAGTGCAGGAAAGGCCTAAGGAGGTAGCACAGGTTCCTATAAAGTAACCTTTTCTTGACGAGAAGTGAGGGATTGCCATACAATACCCAGCAAATAAATCATCAGATTTAATAGACTGTTAAAGGCCGATACTTCACATTTACGCCATTCATCGGAAGGGAAACCTGAGAGCGAGGCAGCTTATATTTCCAAGGCTGCTTTTTTTTTTTTTTTGTTGACTGGTTGAAGCAAGAAAGTACAATGTCACGGATTCCTGGACCACAATAAGAAATGTGACATCAAAACACAATTTGCTGTTGCACAGCTTTTATTCTGGACCTGAGGTGACTGGGTCTGTGAACTTTGTTTGTTCGCTGTCAAGAATCAAAGACGATGAAGCCCAAGTGCCTGAAGGCAGTTTCACGGTGTTTGGTAGAAACCAAGCAGCCTGTAACTGTGTCCTGTTTAGCATCCTGTGATGTATGCTGGAATTGCAGGAACAGCCAAACCTGGTTTATCTCATGTTTTACCAGAGATTGTTTTTCATGCACATAAAATATGATATCCGTGACTTCTGTGTTATCCTTTTTTGTAGTAGTAGTAGTAGTGGAAGTCATGCTTGCTTAAGACCTTTGTTTAATTATATCTGTGCTGCTTTTCAGTATGGTTGCAGGATGTGTAAATATCAGGCAGGGTGTGAGGTTTCCTTTTCTGATTAGGCCCACAGCTAATCATCGCCGCTCAATTTTTACGAGTAATTTTCCAGTTTATCTTTTTAATCCTCCTGCCTGCCCGAACGTTCCCCGAGGCCAAGGTGATATCTTCAGATTGGTTTTTAAATCCATGTTCTTACTTCTGAAATTAGCTCGTTTTTCTTAGACAAGTAGATGGAAAATTGAAAAACAGACGACAAACTAACAATCTTTTTTTTTTTTTGACTGAAGTGGTCCAAGGATAACTTTGCATGAGACATAGTAAATATTTTTCTTGGGAGAACTAGTTGAGATGGTGAAATCAAGAAGACATTTTATCCCAGTGCAGTTTAAAATTCGGCTTTTATCTTAGAGTTGAATTTTGAACTGGCTCGTAGAAATTTAAAGTTTATCAAAGGTTTAAGATCGCTGCTTGTTTTTATTTCAGTGAGCACCAGTAGCAGTCTTTAGCAGACATGTTTTTAGCCATATATTTAAGGCTACAGTCACACTCGGGGGAAAAGAGTTGTTGCAGACTAATGTACAACCAAAGCTAGTGGGACTGTGTGCAATGAATGTGCAATATCACTGTCCTTGAAATGAATGCTTCAATGACAGGAACCAGTCCTACAACCACTCAAAGTCAGGTCCTGTCTTCAAAGCACGTTTTGATGCATGACGATGGCAACGGAACAACAATAAGAATGAGTCGGTCTATCGTTCTGCTGTGTATTTGTAATTGAATAGAATCAAGTTGGCAGTGAGACGCAATCTGTTTGTGTTAACACGGTAACTAACTGTGATAAACTGGTAAAAACTGCCTGTTGCCATCTGATGGAAACCTGTTGCTGTGCCCACATACAGAAATTGACATTAACTTTTTCATTCACAGTCCAAGCAGCACCTCATAGATTTGAAATGGAATGAGAGAGAAGAGGATGGCTACATGTCTGCAAAACGATGACGCTCAACAACATTACTTTTACAGAGGAATGTAACAAGAATCTGACTCAGATTGATTGCAAACCGTCACCAATCTGTCTGAGAGCGATTGCACTTACTCTGAGTTGGGATGGGTTGTTTAGAGGCAGGTTGGCTCTCAGTCGGCGAGAGCAGCAAAAAGCAAATTAGCCCAGTCACCAGGCAACCGCTAATTTATTTCAAAAGGAGGCTGCCATCCTATTTTTATTCTAATTGGCTGAGCCTTAAGAATATAAGTCTAACATTTGCTTTCCTTTTAATTCTGCCATCGGTCTTTTTAACTGCTTGATGCTCTGCTGTGTTCATCAACAAGCCAACACTCTCATGTGGTGTTTGCGAGTCTGGTAGGCTACGTGCAAAACAAAGTACTGGAGTTTGAATATCAAAACTCTGGGCTATAAGAGGTTCTAAAAAGCCTCAGTCATTCTCAGTGGGTTGTAACTATAAACGATTTTTCATAATGCACCTTTGCACATTTCCTCTGCCCTAAGAGGGGAAAAAATATTGATTAATACAGCTTTAATAAGAAATAATTAATAAATGTGGAATCCTTTATTTTTAGCATCAGTGCCCTCATTTTCCATTATAGTGGAAATGGAAAAAAAAGAGCTTTTTGTTTTTTTTATCCTAACTCATGAAATCTGATTTGCAAGCCTATGGACGGGATAGTTTTGACAGCCCTTCACAATCGTGCCATGGGGGCTCAACTGCTCTGTAAAGGACCAATCACATTACAGAGCAGTGAAATGCTCGTGCACCTGTGGAGGCAGCGCTGTCATCAGCCCCGCTGTTTTCTCTTCCTGTAGTAGAAGTGTTAGTTCCAGTAAATCTATATGGATGTAACATGTACCTGATGATTCGTGGCTTGTCCTGCTATAACAGGCTCTTAGCGGGGGAGTGCGACAGCAGATGGCTGTCCTCTAACCGAGCTGCAGGCTGGTATGAATCAGCACACGAGTACCTTCTTGTTCAGACACTTCTTTTTTT